GCCCGTGATCACTCTGGATGAACTGCAGAGATCTACAGCTGAGGTGGGAGAGTCTGTCCATAGGACAACAATCAGTCGTACACTGCACAAATCTGGCCTTTATGGAAGAGTGGCAAGAAGAAAGCCATTTCTCAAAGATATCCATAAAAAGTGTTGTTTAAAGTTTGCCACAAGCACCTGGGAGACACACCAAACATGTGGAAGAAGGTGCTCTGGTCAGATGAAACTAAAATCGAACTGTTTGGCCACAATGCAAAATGATATGTTTGGCGTAAAAGCAACACAGCTCATCACCCTGAACACACCATCCCCACTGTCAAACATGGTGGTGGCAGCATCATGGTTTGAACCTGCTTTTCATCAGCAGGGACAGGGAAGATGGTCAGAATTGATGGGAAGATGAATGGGGCCAAATACAGGACCATTCTGGAAGAAAACCTGTTTGAGTCTGCAAGAGACCTGAGACTGGGACGGAGATTTATCTTCCAACAAGACAATGATCCAAAACATAAAGCCAAATCTACAATGGAATGATTCACAAATAAACGTATCCAGGTGTTGGAAAGGCCAAGTCAAAGTCCAGACCTGAATCCAATCGAAAATCTGTGGAAAGAGCTGAAGACTGCTGTTCACAAACGCTCTCCATCCAACCTCACTGAGCTCGAGCTGTTTTGCAAAGAAGAATGGGCAAGAATTTCAGTGTCTCCATGTGTAAAACTGATAGAGACATACCCCAAGAGACTTGCAGCTGGAACTGCAGCAAAAGGCGGCGCTACAAAGAATTAACACAAGGGGGCCGAATAATATTGCACGCCCCACTTTTCAGTTTTTTTATTTGTTAAAAAAGTTTGACACATCCAATAAATTTCATTCCACTTCACGATTGTGTCCCACTTGTTGTTGATTCTTCACAAAAAATTTAAATTTTATATCTTTACGTTTGAAGCCTGAAATGTGGCAAAAGGTTTAAAAGTTCAAGAGGGCCGAATACTTTTGCAAGGCACTGTATATTTTGATTTTACGTTGTTATGTGTTGCTGTGCAAAATGCTGCTGCACGTCTTTTAACTGGAACACACAAAAGACAGCACATCACACCTGTCCTGGCTTCTCTCCACTGGCTGCCCGTGTATTTTAGAGTTCATTTAAAAATTCTTTTGTTTGTTTTTAAGGTTTTAAACAGTCTTGCCCCCCCTTATTTAACAGAGCTTCTCCACCTCGGTCACTCAGGTCTGCTGACCAGCTGCTCCTGGTCATACAGGGCCTTCTCTGTTAGTGCCCCTAAATTATGGAAAACTCTGCCTTTGTACATTCGACAGGCCCCCTCGCTGTCCATTTTTAAAACCCATCTAAAAACTCATCTCTATTCATTGGCCTTCAACCCAACTGAGTCTTGATTTTACTTTATTTTATTGGTGTTGATTTTATCTGTTTAACTTGTTTTATTGTGTTTTAAATTGAGTTGTGGGCTTGGGTTTGTAGCTCTGTTTTTATGCTGTCTTTTATCTTGTTTTTAACTGATGTTTCAGCACTTTGTTTCAGCTATGGCTGTGTTAAAGTGCTTTATAAATAAAGTTGATGATGATGATGATGCTGTGTGCTTTGCCTGTTTGTTTCTGTTTGTACAGCATTGTTTAAAGTGCTCTATAAATAAAATGGTATGGTACTAATTTTAAATACTATTAATTTTCTTGTTAATTCTGATCAAGGCTGCAGAAGAATAACTGAAGAATAACTGAAGAGCTGCTTGTAGACCATGGGCTGCGGATTACGGTTTACCAATATTGTATTTAAATGCACTTCTTTGTGTGAAACTAAACAGTTTATAGCCCGTGAAGTAATGCTAACCAGGTAGCCAAGATTAATTTAACTGCTCAAGTTGGGTAATCCATAAGAAATACTGTAATTTAACTCAAGCACATCTTTAAAGATGCTTAGTTGGAAGCCAGGTGGAAGAGAACTTGGAGAGGTGGAGGTATGCACTTGAAAGAAGAGGAATGAAAGTCAGCCGTAGAAAGACAAAGTACATGTGTGTGAATGAGATGGAGACAGGATGTCAAGAGCAGAGGTCACAAAGGTGCAGGACTTAAAGTACTTGGGGTCCAGTATCCAAGAAAATGGGGAATGTGGTAAAGAGGTGAAAAGTGAAAAGAAAAAAAAAGGTGAAAAGAGTCCAGGCAGGATGGAAAAAGTTTCAGAAGTGATTTTCGACAAAAGGGTGCCAACAAAGGTCAAAGGAAAAGTTTTCAAGACAGTGGTGAGACCAGCTATGTTGTATGGTCTGGAGACAGTGACACTGACAAAAAGACAGAAGGAACTGGAAGTGGCAGAAATGAAGACGTTGAAGTTCTCCTTGGGAGTGACAAGGATGGAGAAGATTAAAAATGAGATCATCAGAAGTACAGCACAGGCTGAATAACTGGGAGATAAAGTTAGAGAGACCAGACTGAGATGGTTTGGACATGTCCAGAGGAAGGACAGTGGGTATACTGGTAGAAGAATGTTAGAAATGCAGCTGCCAGAAAAAAGACAAAGGAGATATATGAATGCAGTTAGAGAGGACATCAAGATAGTTGGAGGACAGCGGATGCAGAGGACAGAGTGAGATGGAGGATGACTTACTGAGGGAAAAGCCGAAAGAAGACTTTATAAAACACAAAAATATGTTTAATTTAGTCAGTTTTATTGATTCGAGATGGCCTGAGGTGGCAAGTGATCTGCATTCCTGCTGGGATTTTAATTATATTCTAGTTTTTAATCTGGGTAGCACGGTGGCGCAACTGGTAGAGCTACTGCCTCTCAGCGAGCAGGTTACCCCTGGTTCAAATCCCAGTTCAGGGCCTGGGCGGAGTTTGCATGTTCTCTCCCGTGCATGCGTGGGTTTCCTCCCACAGACCAAAAACATGCATCCATCCATCTATTATCTTCCGCTTATTCCGAAGTTGGGTCGCAGGGGCAGCAGCTTGAGCAGGGAGGCCCAGACATCTCTTTCCACAGCCACCTCTTCTGGGAGGATTCCAAGGCGTTCCCAGGCCAACCGAGAGACATAGGTCATTTTCACACCAGATAGTCCGGTAGACTCGGTTCGGGACCAATATTCATGACCTTTTGTTTACATTTGAGCTGGTGCGTTTGCATTCACACTGCACTGTGCAGTCGAGTCAACCTGCTGAACCAACCTATTCCCCCGCTCACCTGTGGGGGCGCTGCACCAAGAACTACTGAAAGAAACGACACACACAAAAACCTCTGAAGACACATCTTCTTCTGTAAATAAAAATAAAAACGAAGTGGCATCAAGTTTTATCAGTTTTAGGAGGTTTATTTTGTCATTTTTCAAAAATGGACTTGATGAGACAGAAGAACATGGAGAATATTGTTTTTCCACACAAGGCAGCTGACGGCTCCATATAAGGTCAGAGAAATGCGTGTTTGTTTACCCTGCGGAGCGGGTCCGGTCTGTTTACATTCACACTGTACTCGAACCGTGCTGGAGTTCTCTTCTACCGGACTGAGACCTAGGTTTTAGCCCGGGCCAGAGTTCGCCTTTTTGTTCCGTGACAGAGTTCGATGGTGCGTTCACACCTCCCCAAACGAATCGGACTTTCTAGGAAAACGAGCTAGAGTTCGATTAAGCGGACTAAACAGGGCTGATGTGAATGCACCCAGTCTCTCCAGCGTGTCCTGGGTCTTCCCCGGGGTCTCCTCCCCGTTGGACATGCCCGAAGGGGGCATCCTTACCAGATGCCCGAACCACGTCAACTGGCTCCTCTCAACGTGAAGGAGTAGCGGTTCTACTCCGAGTCTCTCCCGGATAACTGAACTTCTCACCCTATCTCTAAGGGAGAGTCCAGCTATTCAACTGCCTGTATGAATTATTTTGTGACCCAAAAAGGAAGGAGCGGGTAAAAGGTAATTGATGGATGGATGGATAGTTTTTAATCTTTCACTGCCTTTTAAGAGGTTTAGGTTACTTTATCAGTTTTACACATATATAGTAGACAATTTACTCTATCGCACTTCAAGAAACGTACTAAATTGCACAACTGTCATGTAGTGTTACCCTCCTTAAAAAAGTGAATCAACACCATTACTTTTCCAAGAGGAAATAAACTGCACAACAACTGAACACTGAAGAAAATCTGTTTACAACTACTGCACTTTGAACAAAACACAAATTTAGCAGCACAACTGTCATGTAAACAATTACCTTTCTTTGGATAAGACAGTTTACACTATTGCACTTCAAATAAGAAAATACTGATTGAACTACACAACTGCCACCTAAATATTGACCTTTCTTGTGTTCCTTGGTGCAAAGTCATCAAGGATGTCATAAGAAATCTGCTCAGTTGTATGGTTGATGCTGATGACAGCGAGGCATTCCTGAGACATATTGGACCTCAGATAGGTTTTGATCAGTTTCAGCTTTTGAAAAGCTCTCTGCTCCAGCCACTGCAACAGGGAGACCACAATTCTCAGCAGTCCCCACCTCCACTATGTTTCAGAGCAGAAAACCACACGCACCGCACCTGGTGGAGTGCGCTCACTCCAGGTGAGCGATATGAAACAGATATGTAAGCTTTTAAAGATGCAGGGGGGGAACTCCAATTTATACGACTTGTATGGATTAGAATTAAGTTAAATTTATGTTTTATTGTAGAGGTGATCTTATAAATGGGTTTTATACAAGCCTAAAAGTGCACAATGCTGCATTTCAAAACAGAAAATGCACAAGATGATTTTCGCCTTAAACATGTTTTAACCTTTTTAATGCTTTCTAGAAAAACTTGGCATCTTTGAGGAACATAAATTTAAAAAAGAAAAACCATCATTGCATTTAAAAAAAACAGAAGCGTGCGATTTCCTATTTCCTGTAAACCCCAATAGTTTCGACTCAACTTTTTTTTTTGTTTTGAGTTGTGCTTCCTTTTAAAAGAAGGCGGACAGCCTCCATGCGTCCATTTGACCTGCAGACAGTGAAGAAATAGAACAGCTCAACATGCTATGCAACTTCAACGGAGCTATGCTGATCAGGATGCTCCCTCCTCTGCTGATGATGGAGTTCATTTTGGGCCTCATTGGAAACGGTCTGGCTCTGTTCATCTTCTGCTTCCACCTGAGGCCGTGGAAGAGCAGCACGGTGCTGCTTTTCAACCTGGCAGTGACAGATTTCATGCTCATTCTGGGTCTGCCTCTCCGTGCCATCTACTACCTGGCTGAGATAACGTGGAAGTTTGGTGGCAGCCTCTGTAACCTCTGCCTCTTCATGTTGGCCATGAATCGCAGTGGGAGCGCCTTCTTCATGATGGCCATTGCTGTGGACAGATACATGCGTGTGGTGCATCCCCACCATCCCATCAACTCTCTGAGTGTGAGTAAAGCCATGCTGGGAGCCCTTGGACTGTGGCTGGTCATTATCTCTTTGACTGTTCATGTCTTCACTTTGCAGCACACCAACACAACCTACTGTGAAAGCTTCATGGTCAGCACAGAGTCCAGAGGTAACCTGTCCTGGCATAAGTTCACATTCCTCTTTTCCTTTTACGTGCCTCTACTTGTGATTCTTTACTGCACGTTCCACATAATTGGCCACCTGAGGAAGAGACAGCGGACTCAGGAGGCGAAGTTCAAGAAGGCTCTGTATTTCATCGTGATTGTGGTGGTGCTGTTCATAGTCTGCTTCCTCCCGAGCAACCTGACAATGCTGCTCCTCTGGATCCAGATGCTCCAGGGAATCAAGGACTGTGCCTCTGTGGAGCACATCACTGTTGTATTCTACATCACTATCAGTTTGACTTATCTCAACAGCGTGCTGGACCCAGTGGTTTACTACTTCTCCAGCCCGGCCTTTAAGAACATCTGCAGGAAAGCTCTGCATCTGCCTGAAGCGGAGACGGTCGAGAGCACAGAGAAGAGAACTCGAGAAACGCCGACCCAGTCCATCAGCCAGCTGTGATCACAAGAAAACAAGGGTTTTTACTTCTAAGTCTGACTAAAAATGGACTTTAGTGCTGTGCAATTATTATTTTTTACTTCCTATATTTTACCGGCACTTTTCCCTTAAAGTCCTGCTAAAGCTGGCTGAATAAATGCACGTTTGGTTTTTAACTCCGATATCAACACAGGCGTGCAGTTTATATAGAAATGTACTTTCAAAATGTTTTTTTGTAAAACATGCTATAAATTATGCACATTTTTTTTTTTAGTTTAATGTTGTACTATTAGCTAAAAGCTGTACTTTACTGTAAGATTAAACATAAGAATTAAACTCGTTTAACAGCTTAAAGCGCATTCAAGTGTTTTGTGATTTTATACTCATTATTTTAGTTCATTTCTAGGTAATGAAGTCAATAAAACTTGTATGATTACTAACAGTTTTAGCATTTAACACTAACAGCTGCAGATGTTTTCCTCATGAAGTGTCCTGTGTGAGGAAAAACAAACACCTGAAACCACAGATATCGAGCCTTTGGTTTTCAGATAGTTTTCTTGAAACGATACGTTCTGAAGTAAGAGGGCCAAAATAGAGTAAAATACAAAAAAAAAAAGATTTCACTTTAATTTCAAGGAAACAAATCAGAGTTTGTGTTTTTAGTTAAACGTGAATCAGCACTTGCACAACTCCACTGCTAATTTTCAACAACCGCACATAAAATTATTTCAGGCACGTGTTATTTTGAGTTTGGCTGGTCTTAGATGTCATTTTAACACTGATAACCGAGAACAGCTTTATTGGTCATTATTTGTGACGTGCCAATCTACCACAAATTTACCACAAATCTGCATTTTTATTTATGAGTCATCATTGGTCCAGATGTGCAATGTTCAGGTCTACTTTCTAATAGACTAGGATGTAGGAGCTCCTGTGACCGAATAAAAGGAACAGTTCCTTTACAAATGAGCCCATTGTTCAATCTGTGACCTTTAGAGCCTCTGAAACAGAACTGAACACCTACAACGGTTTGAAAAATGTGAAAAAATACAAATTAAACTGTTGGTGTGACTGATTTACAGAATGAACCGATACCAATTTAAATCAGCATACACTTGAACTTTTCCAATTAGCCTCCCTATAAAAGGCTGATACTGTATAAAAATGATAAGAATAGTAAAATAAAAAGAAAAATTGGTAGATGTAAAAGGTTTTATTTTAATAATTCCTGCACAAATAGTTTCTTAAAAAGTTAAAATAACCTAACATTGCATAAACAAGACAAAATGTTGAGTGCAAATTTTGCATCTCAGCTCAAGGCAGAGAGAGACAGAATGTATAAATATGACTGGATTAACAGATCCGTCTTATCCAGATTCTCCATTTTCCACTTTAAGAAACTCCTGAAACAAAACAAACAAGTTTCAGTTACAGGTTTGCTTTTGTTCTGTAACTGAACAGTAACTACAGAAAACACATTTTTAATATTTTATTAAACTACGACTAAATGTTTCACTGCCTTCATTCAAAGATTTTGAGTCTACCTTCAGGGAGCCGTGTGAAACGGAGCCATTTAGCAGCGTTTTCCCTCGAAGCTCTGTGTGCTTCAGATAATCACGAGCGAGAGAATCAGCATCCTCCTGACTAGAGAGAAGATTAAAATACACCGATGGAAGGAAACCAAAACACACTTTAAAAAGTCAAACCCATGAGAGAGTGAATATTTCCAAAAGCCGTTTTATTTTTAACTCTCTGCTTTGTAAGAGGCAGTCAGCAATTAAAACTTTACAGAGATAAAATGAGTCAGAATCATAACCTTGTTTGACAAAAAACTAAATAAATGACTAAATACAGTAATACTGCATAAACGTATTGTATTTAAACAATTGTTCAACTTAAAAATCTTCACACGGACACATAAAAAACAGTTTAGCTTTGTCACTTGAAAAAGAAGTGAAAGCAATATTTGTAATGATTTAAAAGTAACTTACCAGTTGTGGCTGATCAGGTAATCCACCAAGACCTTCACCTGGTTAGGCTGAGCACGTGACACGACGAGCTGCTTCAGATGGTCCAAGTGTTTTGTTTTGACCAGTTTTAGGAGCTGTCCATTTTGACTCATGAAGGTTAATACCGTCTCCCTGACCTGAGACATCATAAAAGGCAAAATATAAGGTCAGGTGATAAAAAAATGAAATAAAAAAGGAGAAATAAGGCAGTAACAGGTCAATTTTAATGCAGCAAGCATTTTATTGGGTTTATGTTTCATACAAAATAAAATAAAATCAACTGTCCACATCACAGCAGTGTGTATTTACAGAACACTGCTTTTGAACAACACACCAACAACTAGTCAACAGCTGTAACTTCACACCATCAAGTGCTTCCAGTGCAACTTCCTCTGCTATTATAAGGGTGAACACACGATCATATCAGTGTGTAAATGGGTAAAATATGAGCTTCACATTAAGTCAGTTTCCGTTACAAGAATAAAAACATCCCTTACAAGCAGACTTTTCCTTTTTTTTTCAGAATATCAACATTGTTTGTGCTGATGTTCAATGTTTTATGTTATGAGTGCTTAGTGTATATTTAGTTGATGTTTTTATTAGTTCATATCTTAGATGTCATTACTGTTTTTCTTATACATTTTATTGTTGGATGTAACTGGGACCCTGTGTACATAATTTCGCTCCACCACATGTACCACATGAGGTGCGAATGACAATAAAGAAACTCTGACTCTGACTCTGATTATGAATACAGTAACTGCGCTAAAATTAAAACATCAAAGTGTCTTTAAAATTTAAACTGTGAATAGCAAAAACTATATATTACTGTGGTCATGTAGAAGATATGACCTTCACCATATATATATATATATATATATATATATATATA